GGGCTAATGAAATGTACCGCACCACACCGACGGAGCGACGCATGCATGCCGTTCAATTAATGACAAATATCGAATGCAAGTGAGTGTCGAAAATGATGCAATCGTTTCTGGTCCTCTAAGTCTCATTCTGAAATTCCAAGCGCATTGCTCAAGAAAAAATGCCAAAGCGCCGGTGAGAATAAACCTACTAAATATTTTACAGTAGCAATCACAAATTATGTGAATTAGCAGTAGTGATGCAGCCCCAGAAACCATGCCTTCAGTACAGGAGGGAGATTAATTAGCATGGAAAACAGGTACCAGGCTTACTTAATACCGTCAGCATTTACTCAAAACACCACTGCTTATCAAACCATATGCAAAAGAGAAGGAAGCAGTCAATGAAGACTCACTTCCCAAAATGGAAAAGTGCTAGGTCCATAATGTCTACGGAGATGAGCGCTAGCCTGAAGCAAGTTGACGAAATAGCAGCCAGCAAAATTTCTAGACCAAGTTTGCACAAAACAAAAAGGGAGATTCGTGTGGAGTAAAGATAAATGCTTTTGATTTTCTATAAAGGCGCAAATTAAAGCATAATAGATAAGATACTGTAAAAAATTGGAGGTGAACAAATGAAGGCGATGTTCACAAATTGCCAACTAATTTTTGGGCACTATATGGGGAAACTTCACAGACTTCCATAAGGGACAGCATGGGACCAGAGTAGATTAAGCGGCAACAATTTAATGAAAAATAAACTGAGGAAACTACAAAGGTAGAAAATGTAACAGAATAAAGGAAAACCTCCAAGAAAAGAGTATGAGAAAAGGTCAAAGCTCTAATTTTACACGCATTAATAATAGAAAAAGCAGTCAACTGAAAATTCACCTTTCCTCCACCGAACTCAATAATCCTTCTAAAGCTCCTCTCTCTATCACAACCGGGACCGAAAACTACTCTCCACCCCTTAAAAGCCCCTCCGCCCGTTTTGCGCCAGTGGCGTGCAGCCTTGGCAAGGTCACGCAGTTGATCGCAAGAGAGGCCACCCGCGGAACCGGAACGATTGGTTGCGGGAGAGAGTTGGATGAGGAGGGGCTCGGTGCCAGCTCCGCCCCACTCGTATGCCTCCTCAGGCAACCACGTAGAGGCTGCGGCACAGACATCAAGGTAGGACTTGTGCAGGATCCACCTCCCACCCGCCATACACATTAGGTACTTTTCACATCGACCTGCAGGTTGAGGAAACAAAAAAAAACATCTACCTACTCGCAAACATCAAAGTCAAGCCAAATGTTACACGAGCAGTATCTTACTAGGAGAGTTGATAATCAGATGCGTGGTGTTCACCCCTATAGTCGTACCAGGGTCTAAATCTGCACCAAGGTTAGTAATGATGGCCTGATATCGCATTTTCTCGTCTTGATCCACACCACTAATGGAGAAGATGCGAGCTCGGCTGGTGCTTGCAGTCAATTGTGGGTGCTGCTGTGGTTTTGGTGTGATTCTGTGAATTAAAGGAAAAGGTGCAGTAAATTTTCACGCCTCCTAAAAGTAAAAGTGCAAGGCAAGTTGCTCACTTTTCAGGACTTCCACTGTCACCCGGTTGAGTGGATTCGCGAGAACTTTGACTTTTAGCCACGTGAGGGGAAGGAAGTCCGTTTCTGACCTCAGGAGAGTCCTCATATTGCCATCGTACCTATTCGAGACACCAAGACAATTTAAATGTCGAGTATAATGCGGCTTGATAATGGCAAGTGCAGAGTTGGCCTCTGCTTAAATGAGTCAAGCCCACACGAACCGCTGGTTCATTTCAACAGGTTCGATTGAGCAGTCTACTTTCAACAATAATATGCATTTCAGCTTTGAGTGCAACAAGAGATCTCCACGGCACGATCCAACCATTGCATAGATAGCAGCCTCTGTAGGCTTCAGGTAAAGTTGATTCACTAATACTTCCAAAATATAATAATTCCTTCTGTCCCTAATTAGGTGAATCTAAAAACTCATGTCCTGCCACAAATAAAGATCACAGTTGAAAGGAATGAACCTGCTCAGAAAGCTCCAAATACAAAACTTAAATGTAACTCAAGCCACCATTTTTCCTTACTTAGTTTTAACAATGAAATGAAAGTGAATATGAAAATCTGAATTTACGCACTGTACACTTTTAGTCAGCCTTGAACAGTATCACGCCATAATCAGACCGCATTCCAATGTAATTTGCTTAACATCCACTAACATGAAGGAAGAAAATAACATTTTTTTGTGCGATACCTCGTGATGACACCGTGTGTGACACCAAGGGAGACGGTTAAAACTAAGAGTAGAAATGGTGTACAAAGTATTTTAACTAGATGTGTAACTATAACACCTACCTATTAATAATAAACGGCTTGAGGCATATTGCTCTAAAACATACTCAGATATAAAAGTGGATTCAGGGAAAATCCAAACATGCCTGAAGAGCCTGGCCAGGGAGAACGACGTCACTAGGAGGGGCTTTGGAACTGTAAATGCCAAGACCGTCGATACCAGAGTCACAGGATGGCAGCCGGCGACGTCGGGTCCTGTGTAACCTCCGAGCAACCGATGGAGTGTCGTAATGAACAGGGTCCTCGTTGAAGGGTTGTACATTGCTCCCCAATGACTCCAGCCGGCGCGCTACATCCCGCAGAATCGATGAGGACTGAAGCTCATTTACAGCATCGGTAGCAGTCGACACTTTTGATGTTGACTGCTCTGGTGAAGTGATGGTTGCTACAAAAAGATGCAATTTAAATATTCAACCCCGTGTTTAGTGACCAGTGCGAAACCGTAGCAAGTGCAAGTGCTGGACGTGATGCCAAGACTAGGCGGGAGAAGTACAAGTATGAAGAAGCACATACCTATTTTATGAGATTACGACGAAGACGGAGACTCCAATCCTTTGATTCTCTGATTTTAAGAGCTAAATGACAGCGTCATGAAGTAGAAATCAGGTATAGTGATTGATACGCAATAAATGTTTATATAAGTCACAAGCAAAATGGAATGGAAATGCAGAACTCAAGCCATAGGTGTAGTACATATTGCTTAAATTGACCTTACAAACATTTCGGTACAAACCCCGCGTTGGAGGAGAGTGCAGAACCTTCCAGAGGGTAGTGTGAATATCGCCTGGGCCTGACTCCCTGGGCCTTATAGAGATGCCTACGAAATCTCCTTAGAGCAATACTTCAATTTATGAAGACGGAAGTAAAGGATCAGGATAATGGGATGAGAGATACCACACTAGTGGACTTTGGGAGCTGACTCCTACTTAAAAAGGCAAAAGCTGCTAGCTAAACGCACCTTCAAGGACTGCTGCCCTCTCTGAGCTGTCGTAATAGACAACTACCCAGTTCAAAAGAAATATCCAACCATTTACCTTAACAGAACAACTCATCCCGATGATAACATGCAGACCAAATCGAAGTGGCAACTCTTAACAACAGATAGCCAACAGATAGCCCAACTCCTCTGTCAAGGGCGTGCATTCAATGGATCCCTAAAACAAAGCCCCATATCTTGCCCTCGTTCATATTGCCTAAAAAAACACACGTTCGAAGGCGACCAAATCTGTATCAAATTCACGGCATTTTGCGATAAATTGTAATGCGATACAGATCTCTCCTCCAACTACAAGGCTACGCCCCGAAGAAGAAAGAGAAATTTTGGTAGAGCGGAAAGCTTCCATGAGGATCTCAATTGGAAAAGATAATTGGACAGTAGATTTTGTCTTATGCCTAGAGCTCGCCTGGGACACGATACCAGACGCCGACTTACGCCAGATTAAAGCGGTCATGAACTTTGCAAAAGACCCATTTACAACTCGACGAATTACCAAGAAAATGGCACATCTCTCCATGCTAGAAAAAACGCTGATGACATCTGCGGCTCCCTTTTCACCGCCGAGGCCAGTAGTGAGACCAGTCTAAGCGACCCCTGATCCCAGCTAACAGATAATAAGAGGAAAGAACCGCACGCTCTGTTTAGCAAATATTCGAACCTGTTCTCATGGACAGGGGCAAAACTGGGGCGGATTGACGTTATCCGACCCATGATTGATACAGGCGAGGCGAAGTCAGTTTGACATCCACCTAGACGCATCCCACCCCCTTCTTCAGGAGGAAATACATCACCTTATTGATGAGATGCTTCGGGACGACGTCGTAAAGTCATTCAAGTCACCCTGAGCCCCATCCATTGCCCTAGTGGTAGCCTACTTCTGTGTTTCGATCACAGGAGGCCCAACAAGGTGAAAAAGGACGAATTTCCCTTACATCACATTAACGACTCTCTAGACTCTCTACAAGGCGTCGAGTAGTCCTCAACATCAGACTTGCAATTTGGTCTCTAGTAGGCGGAGGTAGCGGAGAAAGATTGAAAAAAAGCTATTCATTGTACCAAACAGTCTCCAAGATTTCTTGACAATGTCATTTGGTCTCTGCAACGCCGCAGCATTGAGATGTCTTTCCGAAACACTGCATCATCTACTTAAATAACATGCCCATATTTGAGAAAGATGTTCAACAAAACAATTCCAACCTCTGACTGATACTTGATCATCTTCGAGGAAAACGCTTGACGCTAAATCTTAAGACCTCACACACACGATAACTACCGATGGCATGACGACCACAGAAGACCAAACAAG